AACTTGTGGCGACCATGCTCGAATGAGTTCATCTGCTGAAAGGCAGCCCGTCGTTCCAGGTGGTTGCCTTAAACGGGCCACAGCTTGTTTCAAACTATCAACCTCAGAGTGGTACCACTGTCGTCGTTCGCGACACTGGTTCAGCCATTCCCCTTTGGACACGCGGTGAAGAGACCAACTTCTCAGACATAAGTAGGTCAAGGTCGGTTCAGCAGGGTTGCTGTCAAATTTCAATATGGACAGTGTCTTCGACAAATCGGTCCGGCCCAAAGAGTCCGCACCGTCTCCATGCCAGCGAGGCCGCAGACGCATTTTGCAATCATGGCCACGTCCTCGTTTGAAATAATCTTCCAGGGTGAAATATCCAGAGCAGTATTCTTGCACAACATTCGAACCCAAAATAGGTTCTCCTTCTGGCGCATTCAAGACATCTTCGACAGGCACCTCCGCGCCTATCTCCTGCAGTTCTTCTACCTCTTGTTCCGCAAGCTCTTCGGCGTCAGATTGTACATCTAAATCCTCCTTGTCGCACCATTGGGTAAAATCGCAGTTGTCCGGGTCATACAAGTCTGCATCTGCATCTGCCTCGGTGTCAGCGCGCCGCTTTCTTGGGCGCAACACAATCAAGGAGGTGGCAGACACGTGGAAACGCAGCAAATGTCCAGACTTGATGAGGCTTCCTTGCTCCACACTCAGCTGGTAGACTTCCACATCAACATCGTCGTGAGGCGGCCACTCACTCGTCAGGCTCAAGTAAGGAACCATTTTTGCACGGAGAGGAGGACTGAGGTCCAATTCGTATTGCAAAGGAGCCAAGCACTGAAGATCCATCGCGTAGCCTTTTCCCAAAAGACCACAAAAGAAGAAGACTCTCTTGTTACGTCCACACTTCAAACAAAAATAGCCATGCTTCTGTTGCGTCAATTTCTTGGCCCAAGATGTGACCAGGTCTCTTTGACTCAGGGGCAGTAATCTGGCGCATCCGCGAGAACTTTGGAGAAAGTCTTCAGCAGGCTTGAGGCGATGTGAAATCTGTCTGCGCTGTTGGTAGCTCTCCTTCAGTTGCTTTTTCCATTCAACATTGTTCTCAGAAAGCCAAGACAGCCATTCAACATTGGTCAAAGGAAGTGTCCCTTGGGCCGTGAGGGAGGCCAACATATCCTTGGCCGCCCGACGATGGCGAGCAGCTTCAGAGGCCAAGCGTTCCCTATGTATGTCATGGTAGGCGAGGAACTCATCCATATTTCCAGTGTTGGCAGCACCACCAAAACCGTCATGGCGCGGAAAAAGCTCAGGCTTTTCTTTCATTGCCAGAGACGTTCCAGACAAAGAGCGTTTTCGCTTTGCTTCCTTTTTCACTTTTCCATGTCTTGCCAGCTCGGTTTCTCTTCGAGATCGGTACCTAGTCCAGGGGAAGGGATCAAAAACACAAGGCGGCTAAAAGGTTGTTTCTCCCTACCAACAAAACATGTGCCCATTACCAGCCAAAGGAAAAAACCTTCCTTCTTCTAGAACAAGAAATCGTAAATAGATGCCCTTTAGCAACCTCAGTAACTATCTGGCCTTGCCAAAATCCTATTTCTAGAAGCGACAGCAACGGAGAGGACCTTGTTCTGCTCATTCCGTTTCACTTGAACATGGGATCTCTCAACATCTAATGAAGATGCTGAAGCATGTTCCAAGGCATTCACCATCTCTTGCTGTATGTCGTCTCGAAGGAGAAAAGCTATAGCGCTGGATAGTTCGCGTGAACCAGCAGAACCTTGTTTCCAAGCCTCTTGCTGCAATGGAAAACTATATCCAAGGTCAAGGCTTGCCTGCTCCATGTCCAGAAAAGATTCAATAGCAGCAAGATGTCCGGTGGGGTTGAATTTCCGAGTCAGTTCGAAAATCCTGTAGGGAAATTGATAATAATCGTCATACCGAACCAGCAAGTGGATTTCAGTCACCAGCAAGGCAGTTGTGGTTTCAAGAAGGTCCAGCGACTCGTCCAGTCTCAAGAGCCCAAGAAGGTCATTCAACTGCAGCAGCGTCTTGTCCTGTACTTCCCCCTGTGCAAGGCGCACCAGTGTTGGCGCAGACGTGCGGTCAGTTGTCTTGGAAGAGGATATACTCAAGGCATGTTCAGTCAAGGACAAGCACAGTACAGCTGTACGAAGTTTCAAATCTGCAGCAGGTGTGTCGTAGAAAGCCCAAAACTTAGTCAGGCGATCCGCGTTCTCAGCGGAAGGTCTGGTTGTTGTAACTTGCAGCACCTCTTTAGTAATCCCAATCATCCGCATGCGGAGAAGTGCTCGAGCACATGCCGCAAAGTGCCAGAACCGCGTCGGTTGCGGTCTCTCCTGCAAGAAAAGCACCAAATGCGAAAGTAGCCGAAATGCTTCTTGTAAACAGGAATGCTCCTCCCCCACATTCCTCGAAACATGCGCCCACACACCAAGACCTCGATTGAAAAGCTGCAGCAACTCATCCGGAAGTGTGTCCCGTCCATACAGTCGTTGTAGATCCAAAGATTTCTGCCGTAGATTCGGCTCATGCAAGTTGCAATCGTTTGGGTCGCCCACCTGTACACGAAAGTTGCTCAACAAGAAAGAGCGCAAAGACGAGTTCAGTTCTTCCACATATTGTGGGACTATATACTTGTACCACCGGACAAGTGCAGCACATAGATCGGAATTGTCCACTGGAGCAGAAATTATCTCGCCAACTAATGCAACTAAGACCACCAGGTTAGCCACGTGCGATGCACACCGGACACACCACAGTCGCAAATCAACTCGTGTGCCGTGGTAGGATGCATTTTGCGCAAAGAAGGAGAACATCTTCTTGGCTGAGGCCAAATTTGTATTTATCCCGTCCCCAGTCAAAATGTAAATCAATCTCAGAGGTTGCGGAGGCCTTGTCGCAGGCTGGTCAAGCAGTGACACTATCACGTTCTTGGCAGTGTTTACTATAGCCTGCCCTATAGTATCAGAGTCTTTTTTCAGCAAAGGTTGTAATTCTGTGAAATATTCTATGGTCTTTCCACTGGGAAACTTCACACGCACAACCTCGTTCTGGACCTTGGAGTACCTCGCTCTCAGAGTCCGACCCACCAGCTCCGAGTCAAAAGAGCGAAGCTTCAGGGAGGCTTCATCATGCAGATGAGAAACAATGATGGCCGGCGCTTTTCCTGATTGACTCTGCCAAATTGTTGAAGCCTCAAAGGTCAACTCTGCAACATTACCTCTCTTGATCATCTCTGTGAAGGCATCCCTCACTTGGGTGATGTACGTTCTGGACAGAACCTTAGCTTCCTCAACCCCAAAGTCTTTGCACAACTCACTGAGGGACTGTGGGGGGATATTGGGTGGAGCCAGTCCAGCCCTAATACACCATACATGCTGCACTCGCCCAGCTAGTTTTTCACCTTTGATCAAATCTACTTCAGCTTGCAGCTTCTTGCACTTGTGCCGCAGCTTTGCGCAACGAGACTGAAATTGTCGCACAGTCAGCGAACTTCTCAACTTACGACGCTTGAAGGCATCCAAGTTCAAATCATGCCGCAAAACTTCAATCAGCTCCCGTGATTTCTGTATGGATCGCTCAATGTGTGCCAAAGGATGCGATGTAGCATTCTGAACAAAAGCTTGCAGCAAGTTCTGAAGCTGCCACGCTTGTAAACGCACATTGTCCGACATGGGCGGTCATAAAAGGAAATCTGAAGATACAAAAATGAAAGGCTTCTCAAACATTGAACAGACAACATTCAAAGGCTACATTGTTTTGTCATGTGCCGAAGGGCCAGCAGTTAGCTAGTCCAGTGATAACTTGAGTCACTCTATTTAGGTCAACCTCTCCTTCTGGACGCCAACTAAAACTCATACACAGCATTGAACCTTAAAAGGCTGCCTATCACATTTGAGCCTGAAAAGGCTGCCATCACATTTGAGACTACACTAACCGGGTTGTACCCAGGCGCAAGACACAATCTTTGATTCCTTGAAGGCCTGTGTGATTTGCAACCTAAATGAACAGTGTCTCCACAACTGCAAAGGATATTCATCACTGCAAGAAAAGAAACAATTATATGTAGAACAAGAACTTTTTGCAAATGCAGGTTGCTTTTGCAAAGAATAATTGTGGAGCCTTACATGCCAATAAAAGACGTTGCTCAGGTGTTCTTCATGTTTGGGAAATGCAAATGTTTGTGTTCATTATTGAAGGAGAGGAAACAAATCCAAGAGCTGTGAAAACGAGGAGGAAACCCACATATATATATATACATATATTATATTGTTATATACATATAATGTTCTAAGTGTGCTGCTTTCTCTTGTTCTAAGAATGCTTGCTGTCCATGTTCTAAGTGTGCTTGCACTGGATGTTCTAAGCTCGATGTTTTAAGTAAAACGGTGTTCATGTTGGGGACAAAAACGATGTTCTATTTCTATGTATTTGTCTGCAGTTATAGAAAGGAAGAGCACAAATACCTGACAAAAAAAATATGCTTAGGAATTTATATAGTACCCAGCATTCACCATCATATGGCACCTGGACCTTACTTGGATCATCTTCAAAATCACGTGCGTCCGCAGGGGTGGTTGGCCACAAAATCCCGAAAGTGTTCTCGAGAAAACCCGAAAGCTTGACTTTGGCTGGGCCCAGCCCCAGCATCGAAAGCAGGTTGATGTGTTCTGAGATATCCGGTTCTTTAGATGAATCTTAGGCTGCAACTATTGCCAAATGAATGATGTGCAAAAAATGGCCATGGTCCGCACGGCATCATGCTATGTGCAAGCTTTGGCGTATTTCAAGTGGTTCTCCAGATGTCTTGCACGCAATCTCAGGCATACAGTATCGCAAAACGCCTTACACCACGGCTATTCGTCACATCTCTTGATCCAAGCACAGGTCAGCACGTCGCCTCCCTCTACGTGGGTTTGTCTCAAAACAAGGTCCCAAAAGCACCACGTGGCAAATGACAGCTGTGCTCCTCTGGTGACACCCGCCCAACACGCCTCCGCTGGTGTTGCCACTGGAGAGGTTCGCAGCCGCACGGTGGTCCACCAGCAGTTCCAAGCCTCGCACATCCACCTGGACCGGACCCAGGTCGCCGGTCGTCGCCGCAATCGTCGCCGTTCGGGCAGAAGCCGTTGGATCTGCGGTGGGGGAGAACGACGTCCCTGTGGTTCTTCTGGGAGGGGTCATTTGTTTGTTAGCTGAAAGCAGGCCGGTGGTGAAGAAAAAGGTGCAGCAGCAGCACATGGTCGCCTCACTGCCAAAATAGCAAAAAAATGCAAACATTTGTGAACTCTCAGGACTCTGATGGAACATCAACACCTGGGAGCCCTAAAGGAGGCAAGAAAATGATACAAGATTGACCCCTTGTAGGCCTTGTAGGGATCCCTTTCCCGGTTTCAGTGCTTCATGATGCTTGGTGCCCGCCTGAGCCTCTAAGAAGACCTTCAGCGGCGTGAGGCCGCCTCGGTGGTTTCGGGTTTGGGCAGCGAAGCAGATTCGAGACCAGTCAGGATGGATCATCCATCCTGATCATCTGGACATGTTGTTTGACCCGATCAAAGCCCTGCACGGGCTCTTTTCTTTGTTCAACTCTTCGATGTTCCATGTACCGGATCCCTAGGAAAGTCGGCTCAGCAACCTCCTTCAATCCCCCCAAAAGCTCATGGACCTTCTGTCGGCTGACCGGTTGACGGTGGTCTGTGCCATAAACTGAGTGGCAGTGAAAGAGATGAGTCTTGCGCCCAATAAACGCAGGTGGACAGTCCTGAAACTAGCAAAAGAGTCTAGCGATTGCCCACTGAGTTAGAAAGAAAATGATATCTGATATCAACAACCCTTCTGACATGGGATCTCCTACTACCCTGGCTGAAAACGAAACATTCACTCTACACCATTTGGCTTTTACTTTGACCTACCTCTTGGGCTACACGTGCTACACATGACCAATATCCAACCAGTCCCGAACTCGGCGTCGCTTCGTCAGACGACGACTGATCCGCCCAGAGGCCGTGCAACAGCGCCGCCTTCCGCACCTCGGCTCCGAAGCACCGAAGACGACTTCGATGCAACGGCGGTTCGGGCCACTGCGATTCTGTTGTTGGTCGCCATGTCCCATCAGACTCCAAAGGGTTTCCGTTCCCCAAAACACGGAAACCAGATCTCACGGCACAAGCCCACTTCAACCAACGGTTGGGAGGTGATGTGGAACATCCGAAATCCCCGGGGCCCCCCTCCGCTCCGCGCGGTTCAACAGGCGGCAAAAAACGCATCACGTCACACCACCGGACCGAGGCACATGCGAGGCAGACAGCTCTAAGCCTCGGTCCTGAAGCCAATACAGCGCCTCAGTCGCTCACCAAGAAGGGAGGTGCGGCTGGCTTGACGAAGTCCAAAAAGAACGGGCAAACCACTTGGATTGTTGGTCGGAATTGGCCGGATCATCTCCACATTTGTGAAGACCTACTCATTTCATCTGGACACATCTCTTCGCCGTCTCCCCCAAGGGTCGTTCAGCGGCACCGTTCGGTTCGTGTTCAACACGGGGCCGGTTTGCCGTTCGGCTCGCGCCTCCACCACTTGGTTCACTGGCCAAGCGTGTTGCCTCAAGGCCGCTTCCAGCAGCACCTCCCTCAGCGCACCGTCCAAGCGCGCCTCCGCTGCCAAGGAGCCTCACGCGGAAAAAGAAAATGCTCGTAGTTCGACATCGAGTGCGACGGTTTCCGCCAGGGCGCGGAAAGCGGTTGTTCGCATCGAGCGGATAAAGGGGGCAGCGGGCAGAGCTCTGCTTTCAAACAACGAGGTGCCATCCTCGTTCCACAAAATATTCCAAGCAGTCACTAGCATGTAACTTCCTCATCTAAGGAGCGTTCACAGTGATGTTGGGGTGGCAATGGTTGCGGTTTACAGTTGTAGATATTTGTAGCCATGGATAGTTATATAGTCGGTCGGAGCACCCTTTGGAATCATGGTGTTATGATTACAACAAGCTCTTGGTTCTTCACCCACATCCTCCTCCTCGTCAGCATCATCTTCACCATCATGATTGACACCATCCATCTGATAATTCAATATATTTCACAGGATTCCAGCAAGCACAGCGTCATCATCCAGTGTTCATCGAGTCGCTGGGCTGTACAGGTTCCCCCTCCATCGGCAGCAGCTCGCCGTCGGCATCACCCTCGAACACACGGCGCAAGGTGGGGCCTGGGAAGCAGAGGTCGACATATCCAAGCTATTCAATAGGTTGACATAAGAGAGGCAAAGGGCCCTCAACACCGCAGTAGACTCACTAGATGGAAGTTTGAGCCTGGGACAAGCTGTTGTTGAGCTCGCTTGATGGTGTGACATCATTGTTATAGGCAGGGGTGGGCCACTTTGGCTGTTTCATGTTGAACTTAGCAGCACAAACACCTGAAGCACCTATTTTTGAAGTTGTCATACTTTGAGCAAACAACCATCACTGAAGTTGATGTGAGGATATTTGTAAGCCCATGTAGATCTGTGCCGCCAATCAAAAGAACACACGCTAGAAGCAACCCGGAAATGTCAGACTTTGTGGGTCAGAGAATCAACAGGGAAAACTGTGTTGACATTGCAGCAATGAATACCCATCAGCATTCACAAACAGACCAAAGGCAAACCGTTTATAAATGGCAGGCTGGGAGCAAATGTCCTTTCCAAACTTCCAAACAAAGCCCTGTTATCCACACTCCTCTCCACTCCACCCATCGCGCCCACTCCCTGCCAATCGCCATCCCAGCCACCGGTCACTCGCTGCAGCTTCCACCGCCAAGCACTCTCCGCGCGCTGCCGGTCCACCGCCCAGGCACCTTCCAGCTCCAGCCGCGAGGCCTCCGCGCGGGCGTGGCGCCAGCAGTCCTCCAAGGCGATGCAAACCTCCTGGAGCAGCGCTGCCCACGGAGAGATGGGGGGATGATGAAGCAGGGTGATCCCTGCACGATCCTGCAAGGGTGGCAACGACCAAGTGGCAACAGAAAAAAATGCTCCCCTGGAAAAAGCCTTCTGAAGCTCTTGTCCTATATGTACCTTGTCTCGTGGTTGGACATCGAGATTGATGCTTGGTGGGCGGGGCTGCCTCAAATTGTCCACAACAGATCAGTTTCCATCTGGACTTTATCTTGGGTGCGGAAGGATCTTGAGTCTTGTATTTTGAGTGATGTTCTGCACAATGGATTCCAAATCAACGAATGCTTCCCATCCAAAGCCGCAACTTGAAGCCAGTCCTTGGGATACTGCCTCAGTCGGGTCAAATACACCACAGGGATGGACCTTTCTGTGATCAAGAACCAACAAGGAACCTTGAAAACTGAATCTCTGTGCTACCAATTTGATCAGGTTTGGGGAAATAGGAAGAAATGTTTAACCCCATGCACCCCAGCAGAATCAACTAGAAACTTCCAGTGCGGCGTGCTCTCAGGGTCCCTTCTGGTTTCCGTGTTGAGATACACCCGCACACTGCATACCTCTACATTGTCAGCTGTGTCCCATCTCCTGGCGGATCCGTTGGGCAGGTCCGTCAGCATCTGGAAAGCAATCCTCTTTCTGATACCATCTTGTCTGAGCTCCAAAATTATCAGCAGACAACAAGAGAATGTGACGACGAAAAGACCAAGCACATTCCTTCACCAAATGAAGTGATCTCTACCTGAAGCATAAGGCAACTCCACTGGAGTTCTAGTTCCAACTCCAAAATCACCTTCCTCCAAAACGTTGAGTATCCCAAAATGCACACAACCAGAACCAGAACCAGAGCGTCCAGGTTCCTCCAGACCCGACCCGAGTCATGGCACACCAGGGTGGTCTTGGAGTGGGTGTAGTTCCGCCCTTCAGCACGCTCCGCCTCGTACTGCCACATGGACCAGTTCTTCCCATGCCCCTGGTGCCGATGGATGTTCCGCCTCGCGGTGTGGTGGAGCACGGAGCACATCCCTGTGATGAATCTGATTTACAGCAGTTCCAGCATCTCAAGACCACGACCTATAAGTCTATATATATATATGCTATACAAGCTGTACAGATTCAATGTAGTGACCATACGTGTGCAACGTATATAGTCACCAAATGTCTGGACTACATTCCAGAACAGGTTCACATCAAACTGGCGGTGAATCTAATGAGCCGATGAATCGATCTGCCCAGCGACGTTGAGGCCACCAGCCACTCCGTGTTCCGCCCGAGGAACCTCGCTCTCCCCAGAACTCTCTCGTTGCGGAATAAGCCCACCTGGTGCCCTTGGAAATATTGACCTGGACCATCTCCAAGACATCAATCCTCGAGAACTCTGAGTTGGATCGGTCAGGTGATTCAAAGCTGATGGTTCGGTGGGTTCAAAGGGAAAACACCTAATGAAAAGTCTGGGCTTACAAAAAGGGCAGGCCAGAAGCTCATGGACTCTCGACTGAGAAGTAATCTTACATAATCTTACCGCATTTAAAAAGACATGGCCCTCGAAGACAGTTAGATCATCTGAGATCCGTTGCAGATTCCTCAAGCTTTTGTCCCAAGGAACGCCCAGCTGGGCCTCCAGGCCGCCCAGCTGGCCTTTTGCAAACCCCCATCGTTTCTCACCGCGGGCGATCCACATGTGGTGTCAAGATCCTTGGGGGTGGAAATCGAAGATATTCTACCTCCAAGGATCTTGTAGTTTCCTCCATTCAGCGCCTCGTAAATCACCGAGTTGCCCTCATGCCTGCGAATGCGAACGGAGGGATGATACGTCAGAGCGGCTCATGCGCGCGCGCCATTGGGCGCCGCGAGCGGCGCGGTGGGGGGGCGGAAACGGCGGGTCAACCGGTGCAACGGTGTTACAGGCTTGTGCAAGGATGCCAGGTCCAACGACGCCAAGTCCAACGGATTCCACTCCTATGATCTGGGTTGCACAAGAAATTCACGGATGTCCTGCCCATGACTGGGTCTTTCTTGGTCAAGGACCGCACAATCTCACCACGCGCCCGCCGTGTTCTGCTGGTGGCGGGCGCCTGACCACAATCTTTGCGTTTCCCTTGTCCTTCTCCTTTTCCCGCGTAGCGCGGCCCTTCTTAAAGCCCATTGCGCAACACAGGGGAGAGGACAGAGGAAGCGGACACAAGGAAGCTGTAGGTGCTGTGGGAGTTTGGCATACCACTGGCATCACCAAAACCCTCAACTCAAAGATCAAGATCCTCAAAGAAGGTATGAATGGTCTTTCAAGGCGTCCTTCCTTTTCGGGGGCAGTTATGAAATTGGAGGGTTGGCACAGCTTGATTCCTCTGTTAGGGAGTTCGTTGATCTGCTGATTTGTTCGTCTCAGTCCACCATCTTTGGGGGTAAGGGAAAGGGGCCCAGGGTGGGATTGCGGGCAGCTGTTCCCCCCTTTATGGCTTGGTGTACGGCTGGCTTCATGTCTCGAAGAGTCCCGTTTCTGTGTCCTGCACTGTCCGACCATTGATACAAATGATCGGATGGTCGCTTCGTTGTCTGTCTCAGAGACACAAGACTTTAAGGGAGGCTGAGGGTCCTAGAGTTTTTTGGCTTCGCGACTGAAGGTCCATTTTCCAACCATTCACAAAGGTCTAATGTTCTTGGTGGCTGCCATGGCTCATATCTACCCTTGAGCCAAGCTTGCAAGACGTTCGCTAATAAGTTCAACCTGTGTCACCTCACTTCGATCTGCATCACTGGTGGCCTGTGGTTCCAAACTTTCTCTATATAATCCAAAACTGCAACACTTCTACAGTGCGCAAGACTTGGGGGTCCTCACTAGAGGATCTCTGTACCTTGATCTATAGCTCTCCGAGTTCTGTGCAAAACACAACCTCCCATCCCAGCAAAGCTCAACTCCCCCGGCAATTGGTACGCAGCTAAAGGAGCTAAGCCGCGCGAGGAACTCCCAATTTTGAGGTCGGGCTTTGCAAAAACACGGGGTACACCCAAACTCATGGGGTACACCCAAGAGAAATATATTGCCGAAAGCCTGGAGGTGTCAGTCATATTTTTTCGAGCCGCCGCATGGTTCTCGGCCAATGACCATGGAGCTCGTTAAGAGCTTCGCTTGGTGGCCATTGAAATCAAAAGCTTCTGAAGAAAGGACAGTCTCAAGGACGAAGAAGTGTCAGTTTCTTCAGTGTGGGAGATGTACTCCCGGACACGCCAAAAGGCCCTTGCCTTGTCGGCAGTCCAATTTTGGATAGGATTTGGATACTCACCAGGATGAATCATGCCCTCATCGAGGGGCCACCAGCTTTCGCTGCGCTTCATACAAAACCCCCACAGTTTCCTCCTTCCTGGCCCATCCAATTCAAACAGTCAGAGGTTAAAAGCTCCACTAAAACCGTGTTGGCTCCTGAAACTACACGACTCCACCAACGACGGACGCAGCCCCCGACGCAGCCGCCGCTCACCGAACGGGCCGTCACACTTGGACGCCCAAGGCCTGAAAGCCGATCAAGGAGCAGCCGGCGTACCTCGCCCGCGGCTCCCGGGTCCTTCGGATCCGGTCCGGGCCAGAACGCCCCGTTCGGTCAGCGAGAACCTGGAGTGGTTGGAATGAGAATGGAGTGGAGTGGTTTGACATCATTTTCAGCATGCATGGCTGAAAGGTCAAGGTCTTCAATTGTGCGGTCTTCAATCAATTGTGCATGGTTCACGGATGAACAGTAGAATCGGGAAACCCAGCTTTACCCAGTTCGGGTCAATTGGCCCAGCGTCCGGCCAGTTCCTTTTGACAGGCGGGGTGGTTCAGATGGGGGTGTCCCTCATATTCTTAGAGTAACACAGAATCACACATATATAGTCCTCGAGTCCAGTCCCACCGAGGCGGGCGACTCCCGAAATCAACACAAATCGAAAAGGGTGTCCTTCGTTTGGCAGCTCCAACCTGACCTCAAGATGAGCTTGTTCCACGAACATCGGGGCTGCTTAGACCTCTCGAGGACCTCCCAAGTTGCTTGGATCTCATCAAAAAAGATGCTTCGATCTCCCCGGGTTCCCCTCTGAAAAGAACGCTGGGCGGGGTCATCGACCATGAGACCAAACACTCCACTTGAAGACTTGAACTCATTCCACAGCACAAAACCATGGCAAAGCTTCCCTTCACCTCAATTCGTCCACGAGTTTTTGGGGCTCAAACCGCAGCAAACCGGGCCCGGGACGAGCCCCAAACCGGGCCCTCTTGGGGATTGATCCGACATGGAAAATGCTGCCCAGTGGCAGGATGAGCATTCCAAGTATGGTCAGTGGCCTGGGGTAGAAAGCAGGGACGAGCCGGGTAGAACACATCGTCTGAAGGCCAGTGCCAAAACTCATGAGCAGAGAGTTCTATGAGTATGATCATCATCAGGTACGCAAAGTATGTAACATCAATTAGCCAATGAGAAGAAACTCTTCCGGACCCTACGCCCACCAAAAAAGAACCTAGCCAGCGACACAGAAACCGGCTGTTCCTTCTCCCTTCCACGCACACAAAACACCTACTGTAAACGCTTGTTTTGAAGCATCACCCAAGCATCACCCCCTTCCAAGTGACCAGACCACCAGACCCGTCATACTATAACCCATTACGAATCGCTGAGCGGCAGTCCGAAGCCCAAGAGATCCTTCTGGGTGATGAGCCCAGTTTGAAAGGCGATCGCGTTGGGCGGCGTACTCACCACCAGGGTGAATGGCAAGGAGCAAGCGAGGCCCACTGGAAGCATTAAAAGCAGTGGGTCGATCTCCATGGACCTGAGAAGAGTCACGCAGAAAGGTTTGCTGAACGATTGACCCGGACCTTGGGCCCAAAGTATGGTAAAGACGACCTTCCACCACTTGCCAAGTTATGGATTTTTGTTGCGCCATGTCATGTGATACCAGGTGCTAAGCCATAACAGTGAACTCGTCAGTAACTGCCACTTGCAGGCAAATTCAACTCCCCGGTTGTACGATACCAGCTGGGTAGCGGGTATCTGACACCTTTGGAAACTCGGCCTCTGCCAACCCCAACCACCCCAAAAACCTCCGAAAACACTGAAACCCAATGCCGCCAAAGCGACTTGGCCACACCAAACGTAATGGGTAGCAAGATGTTCGCCACGGCCACGTCGCTGGTGGTTTGAGACCTGAAGGGATCCCAACGAACCCAATGGTGGGCCACTCTTCTCATGTATATAGACCCCCAAATAGCATCAAAAAACAAAAAAAGTAGATCCCCCTAAGAATGTATTGGAAACAGTTTCTATCTATTTGGGGACCACTATAGACTCTTCATGAACAAAAGCCCTCGCATGGGGGGTTTGATTGATCATGTGTCTACTACATTATTGTGCCCCAGTGGTTGTCGCTTCCGTGTTGAATTCAATTTATTCATGCCGGTTCCTCTTACTCAAGGCCCCCCAACGAGGGGGGCGCTCGTGGGGGGTAGCACTCGTCTCTGATTTCAAGCCGCACTGGATCCCAGCTACAGCGGTTTTGGGCCATGCAAAGGGGCCGGTTGAGAAGGAGATGAGTGTGCCTGTGTTCCATTGCCCAGCACCCCAAACTAAACACTTTCGGTTGACCCCCACGTGACCACACAGGGTTGTTTTGGGGGATCCCAGCCCTTTCACTCAACACTCCCTAAAACAAACCCAAACACTTAACACAGAGGGCACAGGAATGTGCAGGAATTTTGCCATTGGGCCTGTGGGTCCTGTCCCTCTCCCGTCGATCGAGTGCCCCCCACCGTGAAGGACTCCCGACCGGTCCCTCTTGGTTGCAAAAAGGAAAAGTAATGAACTGATTCCCGTTGCAAAGGCTAGAAGCAAGCATGCAGCCATCAGGACGCACACCATCTGGAAGAAAGGAAACCACAAGTGCTCGGCTGCTGTCTTCCTCAAGGGCGGCACGCAGGTTTCCACTGGCAAGTGCCAGGCGACGTGAGCCGTCTTCCCCAGTCACACTGTCCAAGCCTTCTATGTGTCACTTCAAGCTAAACTTCCCAGAAGAAAGGCGTGCAAGGGACGATTGCTGAAAACCCATCGGATACATTGGGTCTTTCGTCGTAAACTCAAGCCGCTGTACCCAGGGGTGTTCGTACTGATACTGGTGGCTTCGGCTCAATGCCGTCAGGGACATTTTGTGGCGGGTCTCAACGTTACAGAAGATGTTCCGGAAAGGTGTTCACCCCAGAAGACCTCAGGCAGCCCGGTGGGTGTTCCATCTCGAGTGCAACTGAGAAACAACTGGAAAGCAACTTCGATAGTGTGAGCCAAGATTTACGGGCCAGAAAGGACAGTCAAGCCGACAATGAAAACACAAGCAGCAAAAATATAGTAAAAAAGCCTTGCTCTGCTTTTCTCATGTTGCCCCACCTGCCAGGTGAGGCTTGCTAGATTTTGTCAGGGCTCTCCTCCTCTGGCACTCCCGGACCTCAACAGCAAGCGCCAGATCGGACGTCAACAGAAAGCGCCAGATCGCAGTGGGAACTGACCTCAACAGCAAGCGCCAGATCGCAGTGGGCACCAGATGGGCGCTAGGCACAACCACAAACGCACAAGCACAAACACACGGTCACAAGCACACAACACACAACACACAACCACAAACACACAACCACAACACACAGCCACAAGACTCAAGCACAACCACAGACACACAACTAGAACAAAATAATTACCTGTGTGTGTGGCGTTTTGCGTGCCAGGTGGGCACAGGGTAGCACGCTTGGATGCCAACTGGCGACCCTGGCGACCTCGAGGACCCACAAGCAAAGAACAACAAAACTCATGACCATGGACCATGGCAACATGCTCCTCACCATGGCATGAAAGCAAAGGATTGAAATGTCATGGTGGGGATCACTCGAAGTAAAGTAATTCCTCCTTTGGTGCCCTGCGAAATGTAGGTTCCAGTGGGCATGTTCAATCATTGCCGGAGGAAGTGGCATGAAAAAAGCGTCACAAGCCACTAAGAGTAACTGTATGTCCTCATGTTGGTGAACTTGCAAATACCCTCCTTTGCTTGTCCCCTGCATTCCATCCAATCATTTACCGGGTTCTTCAAAAAAAACAGCCATCGCCAGAGTCGTTCCACGTCATCGTCTCAACCCTTGCACCCCAACTTCAATGTTGTCGGGTCAGGTTCGGTATCAGCGGCCTTCAGAAACAAACCATCCAGGTCGGTACATGTCAGGAGACCAATCAGCAACATTGACTTGATGGCTGTGTTTATTGAACAACCCGGTATCAAGCATCAAGGGACCTCTTTATGTGTGGCCAACATCTGCAGGTCCATCACTTCAGCATCGTGGCTTTCCTCTTCCCACCTTCGCCAAACCAACTGTGAGCCATCTCTGCCATGGCTCAGCTCCAAGCCGATCTCCACAGAGAGTCCGCTGACGTCAAAGGCACGCGAGATGGCAAAGCCCGCACCGATCAGCAGGAAGAGTCCCATTGGCATCTTCGACTGGATCCTGCAGGCACAGCGTGCTTTTTCACTCGCGCGTTTGGCTTCTCGTGCTGGGCCCAGCGCTGAAGAGAATCTTGGGCGCAAAAGGAATTACAAAAATCGTCGATACCCTTCATGGATTGGAAACCTGGCCACCCCATTTTCCTCTAGGGGCCATGTTCAGCTTCCACCATTGTCACACGGACAGGAATCGGATTCATGGCCATCATCTCCGGCCCTGTCAAATCCCCAAATTCACCATGACCCCGACCCCCACCAGCGAGCGCATCTGTACATATTAACTATTAACAGTTAACATGCGATTGTGTGTGTGTGTGCCGTCAAGGATCTTTGACCACTGCAAGATCGGAGCATCAAAGGCATCGCCACAGTCCTGGGTCTGCGGAGGGGTAAGAGTGTAACATGCAACGAACCACGTGCGATGAAAAACGTTCAAGCGGCTGCGTTGGGCGCAGCATGGCAGCCCAAGAAGTGTCCGAGGTTCCTGTAGCTTCTTGACCACCCAGCAGTATCAAGATGTATGCGATGCTGGACATGGAAATCAGGAAATTGGCGTCGGCCCTCAAGCAATCACGAATTGCCTAGAGTGCTTGACCTTACCCAATCAGCATTAAGAACATTCAAACACTCGCCCCCATCTCATCAATGACCGAGCTTCGGTGACCTTGGTACGAGGAATGAAGAACAAGGGCAGCGTGCAAAGCAGGACGACCGTGGCATCCGTGAAGGCTTTGGGATCCTCGCGGCGTCCAAGAAACAAGCTGAAGGAAGTGAAGTGACCCCGGGATGTTTTGCGAGGGGAGTTGAAAAGCGCCGGAAAATGAGCAGGGTCTGGCATGAGTCTTGATTATCCCCTCCTCCAACAGCTAAAAATACTCTGAGCAAAGAGAGGCAATGCAAGGAACAAACGAAAAACTGAGGCCTTTGGGCATAGATGCAGCTTGAGGTTTCACCTGTATCTCACACTGTCCCCCTATACTATACCGACTTGTCAAGAAGCAACAACGACCGCCGTTCGCTTCCCCTTCCCCGCCAGCTCCCCAAAACGTCCAGGTACGAACCAGAACAGGTGGACCGCCATAGCCCTACGTCACCGGACATCGCGGCCGCCGACACGGCGGAGCGGCTGACCCAGTCCGGGAAGAGGTCGGAGAGGCCTGGGCCCCAGGCTGGGGCCCGGAAGAACCACCCCAGCACCGTGAGCACACACAGCACCTGGCACAAGTGTGCCACGTCTCGGCGGAAAACGCCGTCAGAATGTCGGTGATCTCTGGTGTGTAGGATATATATATATATATGTGTCATGTTAGTGGTGAAATCAGGAGTCTGGGCAAGGTTCTGTTGACATAAAACAAAAACCATTGTATTGTATTTATTTGAAGATGGTTCTCCTCTCATTTCCGGACAGCGAGCTGGCTGGCGGAAAAAAACCACTGACACAAGTTGAGTTCCAGGCCATTGGAAGCAGTTGGCATCTTGGTGAGGTTGATGGACATTGGAACCACGGCAAAATATTGCTCTGTTCAATTCTATTGTGCAGTGGTCATTGCAGGTTTGCTTTCTTTGAGTTGTTGCACAATAGTTGACAGTTGTCGACTCTCGACATTTCTCTACTGCAAAACCCTCCGGAGAATTCACATGCAAAATTGGGCCTGCCCCATTGTTACAAGCAAATCCCAAAACAACAATATTGACTGTTGCAAGAATCTCAAACTTGACACATTTCCAAGCCACAAGTGTCAATCTGTTCAACAATTCCCAAACCGACACGAATGTTGGTCAGCTTTCCTGCAAAGGGCATGTCTTTGTGGGGCAATTTATCAATGATCGACAATGTTAAGGCCTTGCTGATACCCTTCCAATCAAACGTGGCACACTTACATAAAAGTACAGACTACAGTATGTATAATATGTACACACAAAGAAAAAACACATCTACAAAACGCTTCAAAACGCTGAATCCATCAGTCCCCAAATCCCTTGCCCAAAGTAGAAGTATCTCCAGCAGCGCGGCCAGCTTGGCCTCCACAACGATCTCCGGCATCGTGGTCTTCCCCAGCTTCTCGTAGCGTGCTTTCAGCGTCTCTGTGGGGAAGCGATAGCCCTTACGCCCAAGGCCTCACCATGGAAAGCAGAACAAAGGCATTGCTCCATGACAACCTATGGCCATGAAAATACAAGTGAGAGAAGAAAGTGAATCATAATTACATATATATAATATACTGTATACATATATATATATATATAAGTGTGTTGAGTTGTTTGTCAGCTACAATGCAATCGACATGAAAAAACATCAAGACCTAGCTCTGTAATCTGTGCACTTTTCACTGGCGAAAGCCCACCCACTCGTGCAATGACGTCAATGCCCTTCAGCTCCCTTCGCTCATTCCGGTCATCAGAGAGCTCTCTACTTCCTGCGTGCCTCCCACCAAGGTGAGCTCCATCCAGGCAGCCAAGATCATCAACACCGAGATCGGAAGCCCCACCAGAATCCTCCCCGCGGTTGGAACACGTTCACGGTTTCCAGGAGCATGACTAGATGAGAGGCCCTCCCTCCCAAAAAAATATACATTGCAGCAATTTGCATACAGGGATGGGGGTTTTGTGAATCAAGAGCCTACATGAACAGTCAACATCTTCCTGAAAAAGGACCTGCCCTTTTGGCCCCTCGCCGCCGAAAACCTGCTACTGGGATGTCCGAAAACCCCAACCAGCCAAGAAGAAACCCGGTCCAGCGCCCATAGGAGATCGTCTGCCCCGTAAGGTTGCCTCAGCGGCGTTACAAAAAATTGAGCAGGCAGTTCCCCAGTACCATTTAAGTTGACAAAGTGAATGTCAATGGGAACATGTTCGCAGAGTCTTTGGTGTGCAAATGGCTGCACAAATAAATTGCTTAAAATGGAATAGGGGGTACCTTCCCCCACAAACGGGCGACTTGCTTCCAACCTGTGGGTGCCTTGAGTCAAGTCTTACTGTTAGAGCCACATCCATGTCTGAACCATTTGGTTTTCTTCACGCACCGAGCCGCTGTAGATGCCCATGAAGGCCAAGTTGGTGCCGGTGCCCGTCTTGGTGGAGATGCCTCCGATGGAGCAGGAATAGGCCACGCCCAGCATGATCTTCTTGAAGAGCTGCTTTAGACTCAAAGGAGGGTGGCAAGGTGGAACGCACGGGAAAGGCGCATGTCAAACAGACCTCAGAAGTGCCTGAAAGGACCCGAAGATGATGTTCCTTTGCATACAGGCTATGTTCGACTGAGGAAGAACAGAAGAATTGCAACGAACAGGGAAACCAACTCCTTTGGAGTGTCAATCTCAACATCTAAAAAAATAGAAGTTGCATGATACACAAACGGTGTCCAACACCAACTGGGATGTGGCAAATACCTTGCAAAAATAATGTTAGCCTCCTCCCTCCGTGAGCTCTGCCTGAGTTTTAAGTCGATTTCGACCACTTGCACTTCAGTTTGCAGCCGGCACCACCTTCTCACTGGGGTTGCAACCAACTGTAAGCCTTATATAGGTATTTTTGGAACAAACACCTTCAAGAGTTCTGCTCCCCAAAAGTCACTCCGGGCGTCGTCCACTCTTCCAACCTCCTTCGCCCCACGGACGAAACACAGCAGCTCGGAGAGCACGCCCCCAGAGCGCACTGCACTGCAGACTCTTCAGACCTCCAAGGCACTGCTCCTCTTCTCCCAACTTCGCCACGTTGACCACACCACCACTGCCCTCACTGGTGCTCTCGACATCTTCTTCTGAGTCCTCCTCCATCGCACAAGAACTCCGAGTACGGAGAACTCCAGATGCGACCGACACGCAGCGCACGCAGCTTAGTCGCGGAAAGGGTAACTATAAAGTCCCGACGGTTATAGCCTACTATCGTAAGGCATCTGGAGGTTGCAATTTGCTGTAACAGCAGCATAAGTCAAGAGTGGGGTAAAGGATGAAGCATCTCGGTCGACTCTTGTGAAAGAGTGGTCTTTATGTCTGCTAGCTGCCTTCAGTTCGCTCGCCGCTCGAGTTTTCCAGTGGAGCCATCCCGCAAGGCCAACAAAACAATGTCTCAATCTCTGAAGTAGCCTATCCTCACCACTCTCGCCGTGAGGACAGAGGACGCCTTGTCCGGGTCCTGCGAGTCTTTAAAGTTTATCCAAAGTCCTATGGTCAGACACTGGTGAATATGTTCTATATATATATATTTGTTGTTATTTTTATGTGTGTGTACATCAGGCATTCCAGACTTCTACCCTGTTGCGCAAATTCCCCCACAATGGACATAGGAGGCAAAGGAGGCTCAGGTATCCAACTTTCAAAAAGCAGTGATCAAGCATATTATCTATCCCACCAATGGCCCCACCGACAACCCCGCGCCGCTCCTCAGGCGGAACACCTTTGATCTCCTCATACAGGGAGGTGGCCTTGGTCGGTGGGCGGAAAAAAACAAGTCAACCACCCGAAGGCTGGTGAGTAGTCATTCAGGATCGTACGTGATGTGTGTGGGGACTTGCCTCAACACAACATCAAACTCTTTGCCCACAAAGCAGCGTCTCCTCAAAACAGCATCTACATCTTCAGTCCTGCTCAAGAGAGGAACACCCCCCCCATCCCTCACATGCCCTCCAAACCACTTGCATCATCGTGCATCCACGCCACCACCCAAACACCGACGGCATCCACCACTCCCTTTGCCCAGTCGCAAGGGGGGCACATTAAGGAGGCTGTGGCCGTGTTGGACATGAAGGCGGACAGGAGCGCGGAGATGCACATCATCGCCAGCAACACCAACTGCGCGCCCAGTCGAGTGAAGACATCTACCACCAATGTAGTGGGGGGTCTTTTGTTGGCAACAGGCTGAAGGCTATAGTTGGGATCAAGGTTCTGGTTTGCGTGTCTGTCTATCAAGGGTCCTGGGCTGGTGCAAGTTCACGGTCGTTCTTTCCAAACGTCGAAAGATCGCGCAAATCGGAGACATCTGCCTTCATCCAATGAGACCTGCTGAATGCTTCTGCAAGGGGCAGGAGCACCAGCCCACTCAGGCGTCGCAAGGAAAGCAATGCCCACGACCCAAAGATTCTACGTGGCAACCCTTCAAATGGCACTTGGGAAAATGCATTGAAGATTCTAGAGGAGATGGGAGTTTTTGTGAGCTCCCCTAATAACCCTATGTCCACCTCATGTCAACTCACTGAAGTTAAACTATACCGACTACTGTAGTAAAGCAGAAAATGGAGGCTTGAGCTCCTGCCCCCCCAAGCCGCCGGCGGAAACGCACCTTGGGGTCCCCAGGCACCATGGAGAGCAATTTGAGCGCCAGACGGTGATGAAGACCCACCTCCTCGATGGCAAAGGCCAAGAGGAAGCTGCCCAGCAGGATGAAGTTCACCTCGGAGTGACGGACCATGAGGTAACGGTGACCCAACGAAGTGATGCATGCCAAGTGCCACGCGCAGCAAGCCCTTCTGGAACTACAGACTTCCTTGTGGATCCCTTTGTTGAAGCGTTGATGGGCTAGAAACACCGAGTGAACGCGTGGAAACGAAACGTAGCAAGTAGCAAGGGGACTCTTTCTTTTCTAGATCGGCTTAGACTAACATCAGCCACAAATCAGTGGAACAGTGGAACCAGAACCAGGAACCCGTGGCCACGACATGCCACGAAGCTCTGACAAACCTGCAGTGTTCCGGTTCTCTTGCCACGAACAAAAGCCCAAAAACAGCCCAAACGGGACGAGAGAGAGAGATGCTTAAGTGGAGTGCTGGACGATCTCCAATAGAGATTCAAGATGGAGGTTTGAATTCGGTGGCCTCTGTCTAGACGGGTCACCGAATTCATGCTCCTCCAAAGCGGTGTTTCTTGAAGAATGTCACTTGATCCACCTCTGGTCGCTTGAGGACGGCACTGATAGCTGCTATTGTTTGCCTAACATATCCAACACTTGCACCAGAGCCATAGAGAACAAACATGAAGAAACTCTACAAGCCGCACCTTGACGCCTCCCCAAGTCTCTTCACTTAGATAAATAGTGCGTCCATGGTTGCAAGCCTATGACCTGTTTGAGTTATCCGCCCATTCAACCAAACAATCCAGGTCGCATGGTTGAAATATTGATTGTCCAGGGCATATTTTTTGCCACCCACGCCCATCATGGGCAGCAGGATCACTGGAAACATGGCAACCACTGCACAGTGGGGCTTGCCAACCACCCACAAACAGGCCATCAGCACCTGACAGGTGCCGAGCGCCAAAGGAACGAAAACAAGTTTACGAGTCTGAGAGGCTGGAACAAGAGTGAAAAGGGAGAGGCGCCAGAGGCTGTTTGACATCTGTATGTGACTGTTTGACATCTGCACTGTTTGACCTACCAATTACATGATCATACATATTCTGTGTGGTCGGAAAAGAGTCGACCAAGCCCGGCCGAAAAGCCAGGTCAACCCCCAATCCACTTCTACGTACAAAGCTCTAAGGGTTCACGGTTGTTGAAAGCCCACGTCGGGTAATTCCAGCTTATCAGCAACTCCTCTAACAGCTGAAACGCCCCTGCAGAAACTATCACAAGAACATGCCTCCGTCGCACAGCTCAAAAAAAGAAAGAAGCGACATGTGTATGATCTTTACAGGGTGTTTCCTTTGCCAGGTTGACCAAGAATTGCTTATGTCCAGATGTTTGATCTCCGACAAGTTAACGCCTTGACCTTGCTACTAGTGCCATCTAGTGCCCAGCCAATACTCTGAACTATCCGCTGCTACGCCACGGGGCATCAAATCAGCCCAGACCGATGAACACGCAAACAACACTGACTGGCGGTCGATTTGGTGGACTGGTACATAAATTGTCTCTTTTGTATTTATCTGTCTCTTTAAAACCAAGATTTCGTACATGGTCCAAACCAACATGTAACATAAACATATTGACGAAATCGTGGATTTAGATCATGTCTGTCTGATGCGGCTGCAAAATTCTGTGGTCGAAACAGGTCGTTTCGCACAGGTCGTTTCGCCCTCTCTCTCGCCCTGCATCCGTTGCGAACACCGAACACCCGCCCGCCAGCCACAACGCCACCGGAGGCACTGTGACGGTGAGTGTGGCATGCCTTTGTGAGCAAAGATCATCCAGTGGATCTGAGCAAAAGAGGTTGAAAGTACCTCACAAGCAGCACGCGATCTCCGCGCAGATCTGGTCATGGATCCAAATGGTGGCATGATCTGGTCGACCCAGCTGGAAGGCGCCTTCAAGCAGGATTCTCCTAATGTTATTCTTCAAGCTAGAGCTGATGTTCGTCAGCGCTCAATCAGTTCATTCCCGCCGTGCTTTGTCGAGTTGGCCTTCCGGATATCCAATCCATTTATGGAAGAGATTGATAGTCTGTACGCGATACCAGGATCTACCTCAGGAATCCACACCCGTCCCAACTGGCTTTCTTCCAAAGAAATAGACGCCCATGCCCGAGAGTGTCTCTGCCACGGAAATGAACTCATGCTCCCTCATAACTGTCATAACTGGGGTTGTATCGAAGACAAAGTCCTTAAGCACAGCTGCAAGGTTGACCCTTTGACCATCTAAGGGCTTGCACTTTATATAATCTGTGGCCCAAGCACCTATTCCATTTGCCCAAGCAACGGATCAAGACGCTGATCACCACCGTGATGGCCAGGGCCACTAGCACCCCCAGCCAGGACCGAAGCGCGGCTTTCCAAGAGCATGCCATGGCTTCTGCGCGGCTTGCAGTTCTCACAGTTTCTGGAACGGAAAAGAATCTGGGCCGGGGTAGAGGACCGTCGAATCAATATTAAATTGGGAGGGTGACTTGGAAGGTCGTGGAAAATGTCTTGCTTTGTATCCTGCTTGAGCCGGATGTTGAAGTGGTCAAGCACAGATAAGAAAGCCTGATCTGATGGCACCAACTTGAAGACTTGTGAAAAGGGTCAGCCCTGTGTGTGTGATGTCATAACGACTCGAATCATATACCCTTCCCAATAGCAAATTGTACTCAGTTCAGCGATTCTGTTCAAATCGTCTGTGTTATTGCAGGTCAAACTGTCAAACTACTGTCTTCTCACCAAAGTCTGCCTCCGCACTGAATGGGGCTCACAAGGGTACGGCTCACAAGAATTACAGCACTGCAAATAATCATATTAAAACGGCAGCACCCACTAAACCTACAAAAGAATACATATGCATCTAATAGCCAACCAGTTGGTTCCTTTCACTAGTTCAGTGACCAGGATCGCCCATCACCGCCGCAATGCCCACGCCTCATAGTTGGGTGTGCTACTCCGCAACTTGAGCACCAGTCCCCCATGCGCCGTGGCGGAGGCGTCGGGAAAGTGGCCGTCTGCCGCTGCCTGGAGCGGACTTGGTCTCTCAATTCGCATGCGGAATGCACCATGCGCAGAAAATAGCGGAAAAGCTTAGCATGCGCCTTAATGAAGCCTGGAGCTTTCAGACTTGGCACATCCAGGACCTGGCCGTCAGGGGAGCGTAAAAAATTGCCCAGCATCGCCGGGCATGGGCTCCAAACCAGCCCAGCCCCATGGTGTACATAAATATCCTTTGGGAGAGGCTATTAATTGCTGTCTTTTTCGTTCGGATCTTCAGGTATTGACACACGTCTACTCTATAAACTTCCATATGTCGAATAAAGGGAACCACCAGGAAATATCATGTTGCCGTGAAAGGAACCCCAAGACCCTTTGCGCCCTCATCCCCAGATACAATTGGCCTGAACATCGAGCCAGCAATCAACCGGTCCAGCCAGTCAAAAGCCAGTCAAGAATCCTGCCAATGGGTGGCTTGAGAAGATCAATGGTCGAGTCCGCCTCCACAAGGGCCACAGTGCCTCACCGTGCCATCCGAGCGCCTCACCCGATCCACCGAGCTGGAAAGCGCCTCACCGTCGAAGATGCCCAACTTCTGCTGCTGATCCACGTGCCAAGTCCCGTGAGACTGGCCGCCCATCACTGGATCGTTGAGCTCCTGGGACGAGTGGAAGGCATGCCATCGCGAAGATGCAGCATGTTTCCATAGAGTGTTGCGGATTTGCATACAACTGGTCCTTTCAACATGTTCAATCCAACGGGTTCACTGCGGTAAGTCCGATACTAGTCGGCGGCCTCTCACCCTGATACTAGTCGGCGGAACAAACACTAAGAGTGGGGAGGTGACAAGGGGCTCGGCTGGGAACCATAAAGGAATACACCAAGAACGACTGGGGTTGCCAGGAGTGTTCTCAATGAGAAGATTGTTTGATCCAACGAACGTATCAGTCTTTTTCCAGCATAGTTTTAATGCTGGGATGCACATAGGGGGGGAACATCCCTCCCTCTCCATCCATCCAATGTGGGAATCTGTGCCTTTAAGGCACATATGGCTCTTGGACCGACCATACTCTGCAATCAATAACTTGAAGCAGTGTGGTCAGCGTCCACATGCTGCTCCACAAGCCCAATTCCGTGATCTGGGAGCCGCGTCAAGTTACACTGGGATACTCTTCAACAGATCGTCCATCTTGGTCATCGTCACACTGATGCGTTTTGGTTGTTGGTTTGCGCCTGAACTTCAACCTCTTCAATTGCTCATCTCATGTGCAACCTAGTGGTTCTATGATGACAAACCCAGAAACAAGCTCAGCGGACAACCTGGTGCAGCTCCAACTAAGGTAGCGCACCTTGAATTCAAAGCTGCTCGCAGCTGCTCCATCAAAGGTTGCCAAGGGCACATCCGTCGCGGCCCTCACTGCGACCGCAAGCCATGCCGCGGCCACTGCGTGACGCGCCATCGGTGGGTTGCCCGAGAGGCGGTTGGCGATTTGCGATCGAAGCCCACGGCTTTGGCAGGAAGCTGTGCAGATTTGGCAGGGCTTTGGAGTGCTTGGAGATTCTGCTGCATTTGGGGGATTAGGGTTCATTGGTCGAGGGCTCTCTCAAAGTGTTCTGAACCCAGGCATCTCAAAGGGTCCATTGCTGGAGCCAACGCTTGGAGTTTCCGGCTTCCAGTCGCATCAGAACTGTCAACTGGACAGCAAGAAAGAAGTAAGGATCTTAGGATATGTTAGGATCTTGCCATAAAGATGAACTGAGGACTCTGACCTATCTAACTTGGAGCCTACTACACATGACAAAGGTCTCTCTCACATTCCAAAGGACCGTTCTCTCACCCTTGCAACTCCGTAACGTCTACAAAGTGGAGGAATCCCCGGAGTTGGGGTGGGGCTTAAGCGGCTAAGGGGTTGGAAACATCCCACAAAGTTCAACATAGAAGCTTCCCACAAAGAAGATTGACGTCGTTTCGCATGCAGGTGGACTGCCCGGTTTCGCCGACTCTCCCGGTGCCCCGACTCTCCCGTGTCGGCGGGGCGAAGAGCACATCCCTCAGCGATCGGCCAATCACGGCCCATCAAGTGTTCAGAGTAATACCGGTTACCAGTAGCTTCTTGTTCCTAGTAGTAAGGCCAGGAGCCCCTAGTAGCGTCCTTGCTCCTAGTAGCGATGCCAGGAGCCCCTAGTAGCTTCTTGTTCCTAGTAGGAATGGCCTCCAACCCAATAGCGATGGCCTCCACCTAGTAGCTTCTTGCTCCTAGTAGCGTGACATGTAAGGATGTGACACATGTGGAGCCCGGAATTCAACGACTGTTTGCATTTGGCTATCATCTACTCCAGTGTTGAACTTGCTCGAACAGTTGTCACCCACGGCTTTCGCTTTTGGTGCATCTCGTCACGGTTTCTCATCTGGTCTATACCGTGTCCAGTTCCTTGCGAAGACCAAGCTCTCGTGGTCGACGGTTAACCGTCGGCCATCCGATTGGCTGAGCTCCAGACCGGGACTTCTCACCTGGCCCAACTCAGTTGGTCACCAGCGACCCCACGACAGGGCACGACAATCCGAACGACCCCATGGTTACCTGGGAGACGAATCTCCACCACCTGCTGACACAGCTTCACGCAAAATGCACTTCTCTGAGATGGAAGGTCTCGGCATCGGGGGGTTCAGGAATGAATGAACCTGACAACGACTCAACGCGATCGTCTTGGGCACATGGGCCCAGATGCAAGACTCCTCAAGTCACCGATGGAAAATCCATGCGACTTGATAGTGAATGATCTACTATGTCATCTATCCTGAGACAAAGCCCGTATCATTGCCACATCGTTCATTATTGGACCGAAAACAAGGTTTCCAGCAGGTTCCCAACCACCTTGCGATGGTTTTGGTCCACCTGAACCACATCGTGTCAGACTCGTCATGGTGCCACTGGCTGGATGTCAGACTCGTCCTCCCCGTCCTCTCATCGTCTTGGGGTCCACCGGTCCTCCCCAGGCGCCTGCAGTTCCCCCATCCTGGCGCCATGTTTTTTGTGTGGAACATCAAAGCCAGCGAGCCCTTCGCTGGGTCTCTTTGACTTCACCGAACTGTTTTCAAGCCTTCACCTAAATCTATATCTCGCTAGCTTTCACGTCCCCTCAGAGATCACACACACATGACTTCAGCATTCGCACCAATTCGACATGTCTTCGCGCCTGACTGGCGCGGCTCTCGCGGGCCGCGCGCCGCGCGGCGCGCTCCGCACGGCGTGCCGCCTTGGCATCCAAAGCCTTAGGATGGATGGGGGACGGCGGGAAGTGATGTGCGAAAAATGAATGTCGAGAACCAGCATCTATATCTCATTATTTATATTGTTCTTATATTAAGTTATATTATATTAGGTTGGAGGCCATTGCTATCAGGATGGAGGCCATCGCTATTAGGTTGGAGGCCATCGCTATATCTATGTATGATTCATTATCATTATCATGTGAAATATAATATGTGTATATATCTATATATAATAATCTAGATCTATCTTACCCTCCCAAGTTCCAAAAATAGCAAGCCGCTTAGGAGTTCTCCAGAATCAGAACTTTCTGTACCAAACAATTGATGCCATGTTGGTTTGTGCAGTGACGAGGGTCTTGCAGGTACAAGTCTTTCTCTTATCATGTAGCAAGAAATCAACTGCAGGGTACCACAAACGTTCATCATGGTCCTTTGCAGAACTGGTTGCAATAACGATTGGGGAGTATTCTATATAGGTCAAAACTGGAGTCAACAAACAAAGGTGCATACATGGGTCAATGTGTGATTTGGTGTGACCCAACCATCTGAGTGTTGTTCTGTGATGTGATACCTGAGCTGATATACATCCGCTGAAAGACAGCTCCCCGCATTTTTTTACGAATCTCTGGCGGTTGATAGCACATGGTCAATGAGTGTTGCAACACAAATGGAATCAAATGGGATGTTCAAACATGCACATAGCATTCACCCGACCCCCTTCTTCAAGTCCCGACACCACCACCTGGCTGTGCATCACCATCGGTTTGCCATTCCGGGAATCTTCCACTTGCTTTGATGCAATTTTGATAGCTTTGATCCTATCTGCATAGACCGGCATACCACAATCAACAATCCTCACTTTCACTGGCCCTTTTGAGCGGCTGAGTGTCTCGCCTCTGCTTCTGGATCAGCTTCACACTGGCGGAGGTGCGTTGGCGACGCAGAAAATCGTGCGCGTTCGCAGAGGTGCTGTATCAACAGAAAATCAAAAATGGGAAAGCCTGGAGAACGAACGAGCAGGGTTTTATTGTATCCAAACAGCAGATCCAGTATGGGCATGTATGGCCTATGTCTATATCTATATGATAGTGCTCGTGGATCCCTGTGAGAACGAATGGGACCTTGCTACAGTAAATATGTTTCTTTCTAGAAAGGAATGCCTCCAATTTCTAGAGTGCCAAGTTCCATCTACGGTCCGATTTGCTTTAAGCATGTCTTGACTACGTTAACATCTCAGCTATGTTGAAGGACACAAATCCTTGAAGCACGGTAATGTGTTCTTGCAAATTTAGAGCTCTGGGCCTGAGCTTGGTAGGTGAAGGCACCCCCAGCACGTGCTTTGTCTAAGGCCTTGCACGTGGGCAGGTACCCGACCACCGGCGGAGGGAAGACCGAAACTGCTGTGGAAAATATAAACCTACAAACTTAGTGGTAGTTTTCTGTATGAAGCTGATGGAGAGTACTTGGGCTGAAGCAACTCTCAAGCTCTCTTGCCCTTCAAGCCTTGGGCTGACCCCTTCAAACCTTCGAAACGATGGTCAATGGTACAACAGAAGGAAGACATCCAGCACTTGAGGAGTTTGCAAGCTGTTCTAAGAATCAAAAAGAGAAAACATAGAAAAAGAATCAACATAAAAAAATAAAGGAAAAGAAAAGGAAGAAAGAAAGCGATGGCCACCAACCTAATAGCAATGGCCTCCAACCTAATCAGCTTCAACTGAGCACTTCTTTCAACGCCGGTGTCCGTGAACCCATGGGCTCCATTCATTCTTGGGTGTCATTAGCTCCGAGGGCAGCCATTATGTTCCTTCATGCAAGGAAACCGATGCCATCAACAGAGCATGACCCTCATAATGTGATGATGGCGGCATACCATGGAAGAAGTGGGAGACCATTCCGACCCAACCC